GGGTGGTTTGGGTGTCACTTACCGAGCCTTGGTGCCCCGAGATGAAGAGTTCCTTGAGCTGGCCCAGCTGCTCTTCGTTCTTCTCCCACTGCTGGTTCTTGAACATGAAGCTCAGCATGCGACGCCACTGACGGCGCCTGACGCATCCACACACACGCACACACACATATGGACACGGAGACCCGGAGAGGCTGCTATGTGTGTGTGTGGGTGGGTGGGTGGGTACCGCGTGCTGATGTGGTTTTGGTCGATCATGTCACTGTCCTCCTCGGCAGCGGCCTTGCCGCTCTTGCCCCCGCCACCCTTGCCCCGCCGCGGCAACCGACTCAACAACCGACGCATCCTGACCACCACACAAGACACCCACAGACACAGAAACAACGCCACATCAGCCGATAGAAGGAAGGATGGATGGAACAGCCTTCGCCAAGCTCACCCACCCCTTTTGCTCGAAGTCATCCGCGACGAGGTTGGTGACCCATTCGACGACAAAGACGCCGCAGTCGAAGGAGTTCTCCTGCTGCGGCACCGTCAAAGAAGTCATGACCCACCGCTTGGGCGAGTCCTTGTTGTACACGCCTCTGCGATTCGTCGGCTGGGGGAGCTCGAACTCCCACCGCTCCCGCTCCTCAGGAGCCAGCTGCTGCTGAAACTTGCACTGGAACTCCTGTCAAGTCAACCAAGAGAGAGAGAGAGAGAGAGAGAGAGAAAGACAGAGGGGCGTCTGTGGGAGGCTGAGTATAGTGGGTGGGTGTTGTGTGTGGGTGTTATCACGTACCCGCTCGATGTATAGGGGCATTTTCTGTTTGAAGTCGTGTTTGGATCCGCCCCAGTAGGCGTCCATGCTGTCGAGCTGAAGCAGCAGGGCGCGCTTGGACACCGGCAGGGGGGCCGGCGGCTCGGAAGGCTTCCCATCAACAACAAGGCTACTCTGCATGCGATTAACACACCAGACAGGCAGACAGTCAGCTCAACATGCGGGTGGGTCGAAGACTTACGCGTCTTATGCATACCTTGGCTCCGTGGTGCGTCTGGTTGTCTGGTTCGTCGCTCGATGCGCATGCCGCAGCAGCAGCCGCCGCTGCTGCTGGTGGCGGCTCCACACCCTGCTGTCCGCCCTCTGCCGCCCCGGCAGTCGGGTGCAGCAACTTGCGGCGCTTGCTGCGCCGCCCGTTGCCTTTGCCGACGCCACGACCAACACCATCCCCCTCGCCATTGGCCGCTGCAGCAGCCGCCTCCGGCGCTACTTGCCCTGAACCATCCCGCACCTCTCCCTCCTCCATCTCGTCATGTTTCTCTGCGGCCGCCATGGTCACATCATCGCCCTCCGCCTCTCCCTGTTGCGGCTGCCCGCCCTCAGCACCACTCTCACCCTCACCCTCGCCCGGCGCCATGACGGCATCGCCCTGTGTGTCGGTTGCCTCGGCCTCGTCATTGTCCATCTTCTCATCGCCATCACCGCCATTGCCACCGTCGCCGCCGTCCGCCTCTCGGCCCCGCATCACTAGGTCCTCGTCGAAGCTCTCGGCTGGCACGGGCGGCTGGGGAGACGGCTGGTCGGTGACGGGGGGCGCGGGAGGCGCGCCCAGGACGGGGGCAGCCGGGGGGTGGGATGCTTGCAGCCACTGTGGATGGAGGAGCTCGTCGAACGATGGGTCTTGGGGCTCGGCCGCATCGTCGGCCGTGTAGGCGGGCGGGGGGGTCATGGGGTGGGCCGGCGCGTCCGCATCGCCACTGCTGCCACCTCCAGCAGCAGCAGCAGCACCAGCAGCTGCTGCTGGTGCTGGGCCGGTGTCCTGATCTTGCACCTGTAGCTGTGACTCCTTCTCTGGTGCCTTCTTGCGGTGGGTGGAGTCTTCGACGACGATGGGCTCCTGGGGTGGGAGAGGGGGTGGGGGCAGCGGACCGCGCTTGAGGGGCGAGTCATAGTCATAGTCGTCCAGGTCGATGTGGTCACCGCCCCCCGTGGCGAACCGGTCCTGCAGCATCCGCAATTCCTGTTCCTGGATGGACTCCTGCTTGGCACGCTCCAAATCCTCCGCCTCCTTATCATCACCAGGTGGCCTGCACACAACACAACGCAATACAACACAAGACACGGACGACATACCCATCCACTGTAAGTCACGCACGCTCTGCGAGGTCGTGTCGCTGTGCAAACACACTTACGGCTCGTTGACGTCTATGTCTAGGTTGTCGAGGTCGTCATCGAAGTCGGCCTCCTCCCCTCCGTCGTCGCCGGCTGCCCGCCCCTCGCCGGCAGGGGGGCCGCCGGGGCTCTGGGAGAAGTCGAACTCCTCGGGGTGCACGTCGCTGTAGCCCTCGTGTGTGTGGCGGTCATGGATGGCCCGGTGCGGCTTGTAGAGGATCGCCAGCCACCAGTGGAGGTTGTTGGCGTTGATTGGCAGAATGATGAAGTCGCGCTTGAGCAGGGTGGGGCCTACGTGAAGGGCAAGGAGGAGGTCAAGGGGTTAAAGTTTCATATGTGTGTGGGTGGTTTGCGGTGGTTTGTGTGTCTTACGGAGTTTGTCGGTCCATCGCTCTACGAGTTTGTACGGGTCTTTCTCCTTGGACGACACGTACTTCTTCCAGAAGAAGCTGCTGAAGATGTGCCACCGCTTCTTCTGCGACTCGTCCAACAACTGCAAGGCACACACATCCATGTGTGCCTCCTCCCCTCTCCCTCCCTCCCTCTCTCTCTCCATCCCTCCATCCCTCCCTCTCTCTCTCTCTCTCTGTCTCTCTCTCCCTTTGGCGTACATGTTTGGACAGAAATCGGAGGAAGAAGTCGATGAGGCTGTCGTTGAGGTACTCCTCGTCCGCTAGGCGGTAGTAGTCCTGCTTCGTCAGCTGGATCCCGTCGATGCCCCAGCCCTCCACATTGGCCGTCTTCTCGAGCGAGCCCCACAACCCACGCTGGAGTTCCAGCTCGTCCTTGCCAATGTCCTCAAAAGGACCGATCTGCGGCGAGAAGGTGTGGTGCTCCAGCCGAGCGGCCGACCGGGTGCGGCCTGCCACTCCTTCGGGGCGGGGGCGGCCGGGGGCCATCAGACCTGTGTGTGTCAGGGAGGTAGAGAGAAACCGAACAGTGAGAGAGAGGGAGAGAGAGAGAGAGAAAGTGCATGGCGTGGATCGTTGGTTCCTTGCTTGGTGGCTCACCGGCCGCCCGCGCGGCCCCGCAGAACAACTGGCCGGCGCGGCCCAGGAGGGAGCCACCTCTCCCCTGAGGCGCTCGTGAAGGGGCTGCAGCCGCGGCTGCTGCTGCAGGCTCTTCCTGATGCCATGACAAAGCAACCACAACACACAACATGCGATTGAGAAGCTGCCATCTCCCTCCCTCCCAGCTCTTTTGATTGCGTGAATTGCTCCCACCTCGATTTCGTCTTTGTCTTCGTCGCTCTCATCTGCCAGGTTGATGACCTCCTCCTTCAGGGCGCTCTCGCCGCCGACGTGGCGGCCTCGCCTGGACATCGATGCGGCCGGCAAGTCACGGGAGCCGCTGGAGGGCACTCGACGGCTCTACTGACGGCTCGGAAGGGCCGTCTGTGATGCTCACAGGCATCAGCGGATGGGAAAGCGGCGCGAGAGGGTCGTGCTTGGATGATTTGGAAGGCTGCAATGGGCTGATCTGCAGCTGGTGGTCCTTCCTCCGTGATCGGAACAGCCCTCTCTCTCTATATTTCAATGACCTCAAGGATGACTCTAAGCTCGCACCAGAAAGAGGAACAAAGTGACCGAGCAAAGGTGGCAAAGCAGCTTGGCGAGAGGTGCTTGTGGCTGTTTGACCCCTCAGCGGACAAACCAAGGAGTGATGTCAACAATTCTGAAGCTACGTTGACATCACAGCAGCATTATCAGGAGGCTCCACAGAAGCAGCGCATGATACACCGCCTTCTTGACGACCTGATTCATCCCCAGATCGTCGAGTCGTCCTGTAATGGCCAGCCATGCGCCCCCTCCCTTCCCCTCTCTCACCGGCGCCCAGCCGCCAGAGCTGCCGCCCATCCAGGTGCCCCTGCCGCCTCACATCCGCCCCGCTGCCGGCCCGCCACAGGTCGCCCAGACGATGCTCGTCGAGTACCAGATGCGCAGGCCTCAGCTGACGCCTGGGGAGTTCGCCAACGAGAAGGGCATCCCTGTGGAGCTGATGGTCGAGTGGCTGCGCGCGGCGGGGATCCAGTTGTTTCTGCCGGTGGAGAAGCGGCTGCAATTGATTGAGGAGTTTCGAAGCAGGGCGCCTCTGTCGCAGAGTGTGTTCTGTGCGGAGAAGGGCCTGGACGAGGTGTTCTTTGCGTCGTGGGTTGAGGATTTCAGCAAGGCGGGAGCCGTGCAGGGCGGCCCTGAGTGGATGCGGACGCTGCAGCAGGTGGTGGCCTTGGATCAGGCGGGGCTTGATGGCTTCCCCCATCCCCACGCTCACCATCACCACCCTCACCACCCTCACCCTGCCGCCTATCATGACATGCCGCCGTTCGGCTATCCCCCGCCCCCACCACTCCCCCCGCCGCAGTCGCAGCATCATCCCGCAACGATGCATCCGGGGATGGGCATGGGCGCCATGGTGAGAGTGAGGTACCCCATGCAGCCGCCGCCAAGGGCATACGCAGGGCCACACGCACCCCAGGTGAAGGACCAAATGGACAGAGGGGGGTGTCATCGATCGCAGCAGCATACATCATGTGCTTACCCATGTGTCCACAGGCCCCCGATTTCGGCCCTTCATATGGCTACGAGCCTTACCCATCCCCTTACCCCCTTCGCCCGCCCCACCCAGCGGCGGCCATCCCGCCGTTCCCACCGATGAGGGTGCGGCTGCCTCAGGCGGCTCCCCGACCGATGCCGCCCGACGGCGCTAGCGCCGCTGCTGATGCTGGTGAAGATGTGACGGACCGTTATGACATTATCTGGGGCGATCTCCGTGTGGAGGGGTGCGAGGGGTTGGAGTTTGCTGTGATGGCCGGGGAGGGGGCGCAGCTGCTGTTGGAGGCCACTAAGGGTGTGAGGACAGGTGAGAGAGTGATTAAGCGGAAAGGAACGCACGAACACCGAGCTAGAACGAACCCTGGAGCTCTCTTTCCCTGTCTGTCTGTCTGTCTGTCTCTCCATCTGTCTGTCAGATCTGCCTCTGTTGCAAGAGTATGCCCAGAAGCTCCTCTCCGCCCGGCACGACGAGATCCACAGTGACAGGCCATCCATCCCCCCCATCGCACAAGCCCACCCGTTTCCCGCTCCCTCACCAGTTACAACCGAGACCAGCGTCGAACTTGACACGAGCAGCGGCGTCAACAGGGAGCTTCCGGGGGGCCTGGAGTTCACCGTCACTGTGCGCGTGGTCAAGCGGGGCGAGGGGGAGGGGGCTGGGGCTTCGGCTGTGGAGCGGTTTCCCTTTCTGGTTGGGAGCGAGAGGGGCGTGTGCATCGCCTGGAAGGCGGCCAAGGACTTCGCCCAACGGTGTCGAATGGCCGCGACGGGTGCATCCTTCCCCCTCACCTCTCCCTTTATGAACCCGCCATGGTCGGCCAGCCACAACCCGGGCGTCACTGTGGAGGAGCTCATCACCGCCGGGCTGGGCGAGAGGGGCATCGCATACGCCGTGACGGACGAGGCCGTCACTGCCACGCTGCCCGGCGCGAGCCGGGAGGGCAACACCCATCAGTTTGTATGGCGTCGGCACCACCAGCGCTTCGAAGTCAAGGGCGGCGCATCTTCCCTCTCTCTCCGCCCCTATTTCCTCTCAGAGCCCTGCATCACAGCATGCCTCGACCAAGCCATCAGATTCACTCAGCGGAAACGGGTTAGACCCCCGGACCATCCGGCATGGCCTCCTACACTCCCTCCCGCACTGAGTGATGACCATGGAGGTCGTCTCGCGAAGAAACAGAGGCAGATGGCGCCGCAGGGCGGGCTGGTGTTCCTGCGCTCCGGGCGGGAGCTGCCGCCTGGGCCGGGTGCGCTGCTGACCGACACGGAGAGCAAGGGGGCGCTGGTGTGTCTGCTGAGCAAGCTGAGGCGGTTCGTGAGGCAGCATGTGCACCCAGAGAAAGAGGGTGGGGCGGATGTGGCTGCGGACATACCCCATGTGCTGGCGGCGGCTGAGTGTGCGAGGGAAGAGGAGATCATGGCTGTGGCGTTGCCGCCGGTGGAGCAGCAGGTGCGGGGGCTGCGGGGGTTCAAGCTCAACTTCGACGCATTTTTGCTCAAGGGCGCCGTCACGCTTGAGGAGTGCCTCACCATGCTGCAGGCATTCTTCTGCGGTGAGTGCGTGAGTGAGAGAGCAGACACACCATCCAGTGCAATCCACACACGTCCGTATGTCTCACGAATCAGGTGACCGTGCTCTCTGGTGGCCCAACAGCGGCCAGGCGCCCATTGCCAAGACCCATCGCCGGTCTAGGAAGACCCTCACCGCCGAGCAGATCGACGAGGACCTGCAGCAGTGGATTGCCTTCATCGGCACACGGCAGCCGCTCACCGTACAGCAGTGGGAGGCCTTTCGGGCCACTGTCATGGAGGAGGCCGGCCAGAGGGCCGCGGCGGATGCACAGGCCTTCTTCGCTGGTGGGCGGTGGGATGAGCCTGCACGCGTATTGGTGGCCATGCCATGTGTGAGAAGGCGTTGCGTGTGTTGGCTGTACAGGGGTGTCTGAGGGGCAGTTCGGCTCACCCGAGGACCTCAACGATGCGGCCCACACCCTGCTCTACGAGAAGGTCCGATCGCATCCCACGTTCCGCCTCTTCCAGACCCGGGAGTTCACCCCCAAAGTGACCGACCCATGCGTCATCGACCTCTCTGCTGACCCCCTCCCCACCCACCCCCCGCCACCCGGTCCACAGGACCTCTCAAGATGGATGGAGCAGTCATTCTGGGCCGTCCTCCCTGATGCCGCCCTTGATGCTGCAGCAGGTGATGACGAGCAGGCAGCGGCTCCCGCGCGAAGCAAGCCGTCGGCGAAGGGGCAACGACGGGCCGATGTGACCCACCGCTTGATGGAGGGCATGGGATTGGACGGCGGTGACGGTGCTGGTGACGGTGGCAGCAGCGGCGTTGTGGCTGCGGACTGTGTGCGTGTGGAGTGGCAGAGCGACGCCAAGGCGTTCCGCCTCAGCATGGGTGAGACAGGCACCAGCCGGACGTTTCCAGCCGCAAACGAGACTGATGCCGCCGTGACGGCCGCCTTCTCCGGGGCCATGCAGCACATCGAGGACACCCGCAAAAAGGACACCAGCACCAGCGTCACACATGCCCCCCTCCCGCCCTCCCTCCCCACGCCCCAAGACCCAGACCGAGAGGCGAATGCGCTCCTGGCCGAGCTCGCGAGAACCGACCCAAATCACAGCATCACGTGGACGGGCAATGGGTTCCGTCTGGTGCTCGATTGCAAGTCCGCGAAGGAGACGGCTGGCGGCATCAGAGGGAGCGTGGAGAGGGAGTTCCCCTATCTGGGAGCGGGGCGTGCGGGGATAATGGCTGCGCTGGAGCAGGCCAAGCACTATAGGGAGGAGGAGATGGTGTCCATGGAGGAGAAGCAGCTCGCCATTAAGGACCAGGGCAAGGGCAGCAGCAGCCGCGATGGCACACAGGTGAGGAGGAAGAGGGCCAAACGCACCGCACCCACTGCACAAGCAGCCAGGGGATGGGCGTCCATGTGACTTCTCTCGGCTGCATCGGGTCGGGTGATTCTTGCAGGGTGGTGCTGGTGCTGGTGGTGGCGGTGATGGTGCTCGCGTGTACCGCATTCCGCTCCGCTGGTGTCCCCACTCAAGAGCCTACTACACGTTCTACGACTACGTCCGTGGCAGGTATGCACAAGCCGACAGACAGACAGATGGAATCAGTGGCGCAAATACGGCTGTGTGTGGCGCTGTGTGTGTGCAGGGGTCGGCAGTTCCCTCTTTTGTTTCGCGTGGAGGGCCCCTGTGGTGCTGGTGCGGTTAAGATCGCCTTGCGCGCCGCTGTGACGTATCTGACTCAGCAAAAGAGGTCGAAGAAGGAGAACGACGTCAAATACGCCCCGGTCAAGAACCCCCAACACAGAAGGCAGGAACGTAAGCGCGCCGTGCCCACCCGTGCCTGATAAGCTGCTCTCACACAAGCCCTGTCTGCCGTATTTCGCTCAGATGTGCTTCCTCTTTTCCTGGCCGACGGCCAGAAGGCTGCTCTGTGTGATGCCCCACCGCCCAAGAAGGACTGGCGGGCGGTGTTGGCGGCAAAGATGGCCGCTGCCGCGATCGCTGGCGACACGGACGCTGCTGCTGCTGCTGGAGGTGGCGGGAGTGACGATCCGAAGGACGCAGGTGCGGGTGTGAAGAGGATGGGTGGCTGGGAAGAGGCGGTTGAGAGAGAAAGGCGATGATTTGTCGCGTCATGGATGTCCGTGTGGATAAATTGTGTGCGTGGTGCACCGGCTTGAGCCATTGATATGGATGGTTGGACGGATGTATAGTTAGTGGATGGAGCTGGCTTGCATGCAGCGGGGTTTGAGTATGAGCATGAGTGGTGGAGTCGCTGTCCACGACTGCGGACACAGTGGCTCGCCCACGACTGCCCACACCTGAAGCCCGGTGCGCGGATGCCGTTGCTTTCACATGTTCTGTCGGCTCAATATCTGTTGCTGCAATGTTACACCCACCACACACACAAAGCATCGCAAAAAAGGAGACTGCATGCCTCCATCCATCCATCCATCCCACTCTCAATCAGCTCTCTCCCTAGCAGCCCATACGCACCAGTAGACCAAACGAGCAAGAAACGCTCTCACGGCCCACTGACAGACACATGCAGTCCCGTAGGAAGGGCGCCGACAAAGAAACTTGACGCCACATACCATGCCCCACACGGCCCCTACGCGGCAACCATCGAAAATGACCACTGAGACTGACTGGATAACAACACGCGACCAATCCTTCTGCCCGTCCGTCCGTCCGTCCGTCCGTCGTGTGTCTGTCGGCCACGGACTGCATTGACGGACGGATGCATCCCATCGCATAATCCAATAAATGCACTTAAGACAACTGAACAAAGCCAATCAATCGCTGACACAGACACACATACACACACACGGAGACCACACTGTATGATTGATACACAAGGCAGGCCGCACATGTCACGTCAGTCTCATCACACCTCCTCGCTTGTGCTCGAGGCGGCCGCCCCGTCCACACCCACCCCCACACCCCCGCCCCCTTCCTGCCCCACACCAGATGGGGTGTGGGGGGTCTCATCTCCTCCTTGCTGCGTCTGCGTGTCCGGCTTGTCCTCGGACGGCCGGGGCTGGGTCACATTCCGACGGTGGCTGTTGGCTTCCAGGGTGAACACCTCAACTTCATCTAAAGCATACAAATGCAAATATTAACGTGTGGGCGTAGCGCATGTCGATCGCTTTGCGGGCTTGTGTACCGATGTAACAGATGGCGGGGCTGCCGAAGAGGCGCCTGTTGCCCTCTGGCCAGCCTGCAGGCTGCTTCAGCCGGGCGCTGTCGCCACGCAGGTAACCGTAACACCTACACACACACCATACACACATATAACACCTCGTGTATGGTATGAGTCTGTACGACGTTGAGTTGGCCACCACCGGACCTGGTCAGGTTGTCGTGTACGCCCTTGCTGCCGGTGTCGCCGCAGCCCATAATGAGGCACCCGAAGAACTCCACCAGGCCGTGGGGCGTGTTCTCGCCGTCAGTCAGTGATCCCTTCCACTCGGTCCCACGCACCGTCACCTTGCTGTCGCCACATGCCTGATTCATCCACACACACACACACACACCGTGTCAAGCGGTGTCTGTGTGTGTGAGGGGGGGGAGGGGCTGCATACAGACGTACCAGTTTGAATGGGCCCGGTTGCAGTGAGAACAGCACGGGAGCGAAGTGCTCACAAGACGGGTCGACGGTGACTATTGTGGCCTTGTGGGTGAGGCAGGGGAGCGGTGCGTCGATGGCCACGCCCACGAGTGAGTCGGACTGGCACTTGCTCTTCCGCTGGGCCAGCAGCAGGAGGGGCGATCGGTCGATGACCTTGCTCATGAGATTGTCGAACGTGTGACCGTCGCGAGATGACCTGACGAACACACACACAGCCACACACATGGATCGTGCACGTGTTGGTGCTGGAGGGGGAGGGAAGGGGCTCGTACTTGTAGATCAGCTCGAGTTCGTCGTGTGGCTTCAGGCCCATCCATTGGCGGATCTTGTACAGGTGCTCCCGGCTCGTCAGCAGACTGCTGCCCTTTGGGGGCAGACACAGAGCGCCATAAGGACCACCATACCTGGCCAATCACGCCAACACCAACACAACACCGGCATGTCTGTTTGTCCTCCATGGCCGGCTGTGTATGTGGATTGAGGGTGGCTACATGTCAAAGACGGCCTTGACTCGGTCAACGTGCTCCCTGGGGTAGCTGGGCAGCACGATCGGCGACTCCCTCTCCTTGTCGTTGGTGGCCTGGGCCTGCAGGTGCAGCCGCCGACACGCCTCAATCATGAAGGCCACAGCGTCATGCGGCACTTTGCATATCGTTTTATTTGACCACCTGACCGACGGCAAACACACGGCACGTTGTCATGGTCATGTGCACAGTCAGTTGTTGGCTGGCTGAGTCACTCACTTGACGAAACGATTGTACATGGAGTTCTCCTCGCCGAATGCGCGGAGCGTTGCGGTGGTGGTGGTGATGGCGCGGCCCATGACTTCGACGCTCACCACTGAGGCGCTGTCGTCGTCGCGGCCCGTCTCGATGTCCGCCTGAGATGAACGAGACCCACTGAACAAACCGGACAGAAGGAAAGACAGACAGACGTAGTGCAGTGCACCGCACCGTCTCTTTGTCGGTTGCCATTCCATCTCCCCCCAGCTCACCCCTGCACCCTGGTGAAGAAGTCATGGACAGCGGCGATCCTCTCCTTGAAGGCCTCCTCGATGCCCTCGCCTCCCCCCTCCCCCAGGTGGCCCCGCACCACGCCCATCAGCCGTCCCTTCTCGGCCCGCCATGTGTCCACACACCTGTCAACATCCTCCAAGAAGCGACAGGGTGACGCTGTTGACGACGATAACACGCCGCTGCTGCAGGCGGGGACAACCACCTCGTTGCTGGCTGCTGGGGGCTTTGGGGCACAGAGTGGTGCTGGTGTCGGTGTCCGCTGGACGCCCGTGAAGGTGCGCAGGAGGGCGGGGAAGTAGATGTTGGACGGCGGGGCTTTCGTGGTCAGATCTGAGGGGGAGATGAGGCCCAGCTCGACACGGACAAGGTCGTCAACCAAAGCGGCGAAGCACTCCCTGTGTGGACAACAGAAGAACAGCAGCAATACAGTCACACATAAAGAATGGAGACGAGACCACCTGCCGTGCCAGCCCCTCTTGCTGACCCGCAGCAGTTGATGAACATCCTGTTGTGTGGATCTCTGAGGAAATTGGCGTCCCACACGCCGCTGAACAGCTCCGCAACGAGCGAGTCCTCCACACACGTCAGCGTCGACCTCTGCACCTTCAGCACAGTTCCCCCCGCGTTGATCTCCAGCACATCATCGCCGCTGCCACGGGCATCTGGGCGACCACCAAGGCCTGCACACACCAGCAACACGACAGAGATCTCCAGTGTGGTCGCACAGAGATCTGCTTTGCGTCTAGATCTACCTTTGATGATATTCGCCCTGACTTCCCGGCCCTCCTCCAGGTGCTTCAGCGTCTCCGTGAGGTGTTTTTGCAGCGCTGCGTAGTGCTCCTCGATGGCAAACAGGCCAGGCAGGGGCGAAGTGGGATGATGCGATGGGAGGGCATACGCCGAGGCTACAGCCGCTGCTGACGACGACATCTTGGAGCCACCCCAGCCAAGCTCTCTGTGTTCGGCTGAGATTCCGATCTCGCAAATTTGCGAGCTCGGCACAAGGGAAGCGCAGGGTAGCTTGGCTTTCGGTGGGCTGCATCATCACCCCTTGATGCAGCGACAACGAGGGGATCGATGATGACGCCATCTCAATGCTCAGCAACGCACCGTCCACTGGTCCTCGGCGGTGACGGCTGACGGCGGTGGCATCTACGCCAGTCCCCCAGCGATTTCCCCAGAGCCTTTATCCAGCCTTAACGAATGATTTCCAATCTCTTCCCGCCTCACTCTTCCCGCTCCCCCCCGCCTCTGATGAGTGAGCCGCTCGTCCAGTGAATGGTCTTGATGCAGTCCAGTGACCATGATCATTCGACGCCCCCCTCCCCCCAGTGTAGCCTCGTGTCGGCAGCCCTCGCCGGCCTCGTCACCAAGACCGCATGCGCCCCGCTCGACCGAGTCCGCACCCTCTACCAAATCCAGGGCATGTTCAATGCCACTGCCGGCCACTCGGCTGCCCCGCGGCCCGTCACCACGCTCAAGTACGGCGGTTCGTTCGGCCTCAGCACGTTCGGGCAGATTTATGCCGAGGAGGGCGTGGCGGGTCTGTTCCGCGGCAACCTGATGAACTGCATCCGCGCCATGGCCGTCTACGGCATCAAATTCGGCACCAACGACTTCATCAAAGACCACATCAGACTCGCGCGAAGCAGCATTAGCAGCAGTGGCAGTAGCAGCAACGGCAGCAGCAGCAACAGGGCCGATGGGCGTCTGTGCTTTAGTGACCTCTTGCTGGCGGGTCTCGTGGCCGGGACGGCGCAGAAGCTGCTGACATACCCCCTGGATCTGCTGACGGTGCGGCTGGCGATGGGCAGCAACGTGGTGGCCGTGGCGAGTGGTGGTGTGGGTGTGGGCGGGGGTAGTGGGGGGTACAGGGGCATATTGGATTGTGTGGGGCGGATCTACGTGCGTGAGGGTATGGGTGGGTTTTGGAAGGGGCTTTGCCCCACGCTGATGACGGGCGTGCCCTATGTCATGTTTCAGCTCTCCCTCTGGGAGTACTACAGGGACGCATACCGCAGGTAGGGTGCGTATGGCTGTGTGTACACGACACAGGCAGCCATTCAATGGTGCATGTGTATGTGTGTGTCTGTTTGGCGTTCGGCAGGTACCTTCGTCCATCTGTGTATGGGGTGTCGTCGAGCAAGGCCGACGGCATGAAGGACGTCCTGGAGTCGTCCATAGAGTCGTCCATTGCAGGTGCGCATCCGTGAGCTGTTGAGCACCACAACACGACTTGTCATCTGTGTGTGGTGCGTTGTGTGTCACACAGGGTCGCTGGGCAGCCTCACAGCGCAGCTGCTCGTCTTCCCGGGCGACACAATAAGGTACACACACACACACATTTGCAGAGAGTGGTGCTGAGCTCTCCCTTTTGTATGTCTGTCTATGTCAATGTCTGCAGGAAGCGCATGATGGCCGACGGTGTGGACTCACGGCCGGGCGGCGGCAAAGACCCACGCAAGTACAAGTATGTCAACCACATACACACACACACACACATGCTCATCCTCTATCAGTGTGCACACGCCTGTTCTCTCTCTGTATGTGTGTGTTTGTGTTCAGGGGTATGATGGATTGCCTGCGTCAGGTGCTGCGGGAGGGCGGCGCCTCTCGCCTCTATCATGGCCTGGTGCCATGCATCGTCAAGGCGTTACCAAACGGTCCGTCAGAGACACTCACATATACACACACACCCCAGACAACGCATCCTGGCGTCATCTCTGCAGGTGCGATTCAGTTCGGCAGCATCGAGCTCTTTTCCAAGCTGGTGCCGCAGGCGTACCTGCTCATCACCAGCGCATTGGCCGCCTTGGCCACGACCACCACCGCCACTACCACCACTGCTGCTGCTGCAGGCGTCACGTGACACGCTGTGTTGTATCACACATACGTGGGATGTAGAGCTAGATGGCCGTATGTATTCCGTCGATTTTCCTTTTATTTGCGGCGGCGGAGGGCAGTTTTTGCTTTTGCGTGTTTGGCAGATAGAAGCGTCCGTGCACTGATTGCGTCGACTCAACAACGGTTGGTGGGGGTGCTGTGACGGTGTACAGACAGACTGACGAACAGACAGACAGACAGACCGACAGGGTCGGTCGACCTTGAGGACATCGAGTTTGAGGACATCGAGTACGAGTGGGTCGGGGAGGCGCGGATTCCCGCCTGAACTTCGCGCATCCCTCACCTTCTTGTACTGCATGCCCGCAACTTCGACCACCAGTCGTATTCTTGTCTCTCTGTTATCCGTGACATGACTTTGGCCGTTGTCGGCTGGCGAAACAAACGATGCGGAGAGTGAGTGTGTGTGTGTGTGTGGGGTGGGGGTGGGGGGGCATGATGTAATGTGATGTACAGACCAACAGTCGGGGCGTTGTTCCCATACCTCTCCTTTATATCCTTTATATTTGTGACGGGACTCATTCGGTTGATCCACCGGAACGGATGGTCCATTCTACGGAAACAACGCACCCATGCACGCAATGAATGTCCCTTGAAAAACAGCCGCGGGGAAAAAGCCAGAACCACACACACGGACGGAAACACGCACAGACGGATGGATGGCCAGACACATGAGGGAACGACCAAGGAAAGAGAAGGAGAGACTGCGACATCTGCCCACTGGCCACACGGTGCGCTCATGGAGACAACACACCTCTCTGTGTTGGGGGTCCACATCCATCGCACTAGGGAAAAAAGGAAGAGATAGAGAGAGAGAGAGAGAGAGGCTCTGCCATCTGCAATACGGTAGAGTGTGGTTCGCTCATGGATGGAGAGTGTGGCGGAGAAAAACAAACCAAACCTCTGTCTGTCTGTCTGTCAATTCATGCACGGCACATCAACCAACGGCAACACACAGCTCTCTACCAATGGCACAGCCCACTAATTCCATAGCCATGCCATTGTGTCTCTCTCCACGTGTGTAGAGAGGAGTGGGCCAGCCAATGGAGCCATCCATGTGTAGAAGGAAAGGTACACCCTCACGCACCGTCTGTCTGTCTCCCTCTCTCTCTCTCTCTCTCTCTCTCTGTGTGTGTGTGTCTGTGTGTGTCTGTCTCTACAGCCCCCTCCCTTAGTGTCAGTGTGTGGGTACATGTATTGGATGTGTGTGTGTATCTTAGTCGTCTTCCAGCGTACACTGCTCCCCGTCCGCCGACGCGGCTCCGGTGTTGACGTACTTGACCGGCACGATCCGCTTTTTCTGCTTGAAGGGGTTGGGTAAGCCGCCTGAGTGACAGAAGGCCAAAACATGACACACACATACATGATGCAAATCGTCTGCCTCGCGTACCACCACTGCTTGCAGACGGTACAGCGGCGCCGGGAATGGCCTGAATGCGACGCACGACAAACAGGACACAACACACAAGGAGTTCCATCCGCGTGTGGCTCCTTGTTTTGTCTGTCATCCACAGACGTCGTCCTCAGGGATGCTCTGCTGCGCATACGGCCCCGCGGGGAAGTACTCGGGCTGGAGGTCCTGGGCTTCCTTCGGGTCGATTGCCTGAGAGACACACACATGGATGAATGGATGGATGGATGGATAGGTGGATTGGGGTGGCACCATACCAGCCCGGTGTCCTTTTGCGTGTGCGTGTCCTTTTGTGTGTCGGGCGAACTCATCTGAACATGACAGCCACACATACATGGAGAGTAGAGAGAGAGAGCGAGAGAGACACGCGGCCGTTCGTCGCCCACCATTTTGTAGGTGGGGAGAAACTCGCCAAAGCTCACGCCAGCGATCTGGCAAACACAACACAGCACAGCACAGCACAATACACCTACAGTAATGCACAAAATGCGCACATAGACAAACTTCAGCTTACACGTGAGCACCCTTTGTGGTCGATGTGAACACCAGTCTTCTCATGCGTGTCACCATACAGATCGTCATGCTGCACACGAAAGGCGCGAAGCGACCATTGGATGGTTCCATCTCGTGGTTATGTGCCTACTGCCTCTGGGTATGACTGTGTTTTGGTGGCCGGGTAGTAGAGCTCTCGACAAACCTCAGATACCCGCTCCACAACGGGCAGCATCGGCCACGAGGCCGCCTGGGACACGACACGCGATGTGGCTTGGTGTGTTGGGGTCTTGGGGTGAGGGTGGGTGGTGGGCTACATACCATCGTGCGCTTGCCGCTCAGCATTTTGGGCAGGAGAGGGTCCTGCACCTCGGCCATCGAACGAGAAACACACACCTGCACATGGAACCACACACACACACACGCACACACACACAGAAACGGAGAGGCATGAGAGGGTCAGTATGGAGAGGCACGTGTTTGTGTGCTCGGCATACCTTCTTCTGCACGAGCCCCGCGGCGTACTTGGCACTCCCATTGTCAGCACCAGACTGGCCGCCCCACGCACTGAAGTTGATGTAGTCACGGTAGTTCTTGATGTCAGTCTGAGTGGATGGATTGATGGATGGATGGATGGATGGATCTATACTCCCTTTGTGCACTCGCCACACATACACACCGATTTGATGTAGTAGCGAGTGGGTGCGTCAGGCTCGCTCATGCTGTCACTGAACAGACGACCCACACCAGCCAACTGATGGACAGAGACAAGAATTCATCCATCCATCCATTCCATCTCCTCTGCCCTCCCCATTTTCCCCCGCTCACCTTGGGTGTGTCGGAGGTTGCTCGAGCATGACGACGTTCGAACCGCCGCCACCTCCCAACATGCCCATGGCACCCTAAACGCGTCCATGGATATGATGAGGGCAAGTAGGAGTCCGATGTTTTCTTTTGCACCTGGAAGGGCATACTCGGGCGCACCTTGGTCGCACACTGGATGTGTGGACGGGTGGCGCAATCGGGATGATGCACAACAGAGAGGGCCACACACACACAGTGGAGCGGCCCGGTTTGCGTCTCGTCAACCCACCTCATGCGACTGCAAACACCACACCCCACACCACCCCACACCACACCACACCTTACACCATTTGACATCTCACTTTCTGGCCCTCTTCGCGCTCACCACCGGCACTGGTACGAAGACGTCCTGGCCGCCGCCTCCCTGCATTTAAATAAATGAACGGATGCATCGGCGGAGAAGGCAGCTGATGTGTCGCACGAAGAGGATGGAGTGCTTGCTGCTGCTTCCGTCCCTCTCCTTCCCGTGTCTCAGTACCTTCATGCTGGCGGCGTCCTTCTGGAACACGACCTCCTGCTGGAACGTGTAGATCTGCAGAAGGAACCCACTTTTGCTCCATCGGCATCCACCCCATTAATGCCCGCCTGCCTGCAGTGCATCAGGCTCTCACCTGAGTGTGCATCTGTGCCGATTCTCCACCGCCTGGGAGCTCTGGCCCGACGCAGACCAAATAGGTCACTTCGCAGTGCAAATAGCCTCCAATACGTCAGAAAGCCTTCCAGGAAGTTGCAAAAACGACGGAACGCTTCGCACACGGATTGCGAAGGGGATCGCCAAGCTCCGAGATAAGCTCGCAAAAGAGAGGCGAGAGAAGAAGAAGAAGAAGAAGAAGAAGAAGGAAGAAGAAGAAGAAGAAGAAGAAGAAGAAAGAAGAAGAAGAAGAAAGAAGAAGAAGAAGAAAGAAGAAGAAGAAGAAAGAAGATGAAGAAGAAAGAAGATGAAGAAGAAAGAAGATGAAGATGAAAGAAGATGAAGAAGAAAGAAGATGAAGAAGAAAGAAGATGAAGAAGAAAGGGGGAAGAGAGAAACTGTCATTAACCGTAACACTCGTCTGTGTGTCCGTGATACTCATACAAATACAGTCCCATCAGCACGCAGAGTCAAACAGGCTCAAGGGGAGGAGGGATCAATCCCCGCCC